GCCTTTTGCCAGTAAAGATGAAAATGACTTCTGTCTGGCAGAAAATATAATCCCAAAGGTTATAGTTTATTGCCGTGTAAGGTATTAATCAGTTTTGTATCTGATTTCAACATTCTTCTATTCTTTTTTTTCTGTAACTACCCGCATTCTCAGATCCTTTTTTGAACTAGCTTTACCATCCTGATTCCCTCGGTCATGAATTAAATAAATTTTTAATGTGTATTTGCTGCATATTTGTATGAGAGTCATGTTTTTAACTTTTTGAAAATCATACTTTGACAGCCAGATGTATTATCATTTTAACAGCTCTGTGGTATTCTACTTTGCGATTGCTGTAATTTACTCATCTGTCGCTCTATTGTTAGACTTTTAGGATATTTCTGTTTTTTTATTGAAGTAGGGTTGATTCACAATGTTTTGTTTAGTTTCTGGTGTACAGCAAAGTAATTCCGTTATGCATATATATTCTTTTTTGTATTCTTTTCCATTAAGGATATTCCTAATTCAGTACCAATATAAATAATTCTGCAGTGAACATCTTCGAATATAAAACTTTTCCTGTGCTTTTATGTTTCTTGCCTATGAGTAAATTTTCAAGTACAGAATTAATGGATCAAAGGATATGAACAGGGTTTCCCTGGTGGCGCAGTGGTTGAGAGTCCGCCTGCCAATGCAGGGAACACGGGTTTGTGCCACGGTCTGGGAAGATCCCACATTGCTGCGGAGTGGCTGGGCCCGTGAGCCATGGCCGCTGAGCCTGCGCGTCCAGAGCCTGTGCTCCGCAATGGGAGAGGCCACAACAGTGAGAGGCCCGCGTACCGCAAAAAAAAAAAAAAAAAAAAAAAGGATATGAACATTTGTAAGATAAGCAGTATTGCAGTTTGTCAACTGGACAGGAATGGAAGAGTCTTCCAAGGTGGCAAAAGCAGGCTGCAGACAGGCAGGAGGCCACAGGTCCCACAGGGAGATAACTCTAACCAGCTAGAATGTGAGTACAGGTCCTGCCAGGGGCTGGAAAGGTAGGAAGGAGACCGGATTGTAAAGAGCCTGGTACCCTGAAATGTATATTTGGTATAAAGGGAAACCATCTGTAGTATAAACTGAGAAGTGCGTGATGAGGCCTGTGCTTTAGGAAGACAACTCTAACAGAAGGAAGGCTCCTCCAAAGCTCCTGAAATAGTGCTGGTGACAGAAGCTCAGGCTTGAACTGGAGCAGTAACTGGGGAGGTGGAGAAAAGATATTTAAAGAGGTACAGGGGATGGAATTAAGAGATACAAACTACTATGTATAAAATAGATAAGTAAGAAAGACTTATTGTGTAGCACAAGGAGTTATAGCCATTATCTTGTAATAACTTTTAATGGAGTATAATCTGTAAAAATACTGAATCACCATGCTCTATACCTGAAACTAATATAATATGGTAAATCAACTATACTTCAATTTTAAAAAAACATTAAAAAATACCATGGGCTGATTCAAAAAAGTTTTTTTAATTTTTGAATTAAAATAAAGAGGTATAAGGGCTTCACCAGGATCATCCTGCTATTTAGTGGTGGCGACCAGACTGGATTGTCGGTGCTTCCTACCTCTCTCTGTGGTCCATGCTGCTGTTCCTTTGGGTTTTTATCTAAGATGTGACTTCTTAGAACTTCAGGCTGCTCAGATCCTTCCACTTAATGAGTTGATTAGAGTCGCGATGTGCAAGAACCAGCTTTGCCAAAGCATAAAGCACACATCCAAGATGATGAACGGCATCACTAAAAATAATAAAAGATTAAGCACACATTCCGGGGAAGTGCCAGGGCATTCTTGTGGAATTTGCCAGACTAAACTGTAGTGGATACTCTTCACTGTCTCTACAAAACCAGACCTCCAAGGTAGCTTTGCCAGGATACGCATTTTAGACACTGCGGGCAGGCAGCGTCCCTGTGCGGCTCTCAGGGTGATCCAAGGGGCTGGACTTTACAGCTGACCCCACGGAGCCCACAGCCTGTCTCATTGTCAACAGGAAGGTTCAGCAGATTTTCACTATGCGACCAGAGACCAGGAACTTTCAGACACTATCTTACTTCCCCATTTCACAGAGGAAGAAACTGAGAAGTTTGTCTTGGTTGCCCAAGGGTGCCCCTCTCAGCCACGGTGCTTCATAGTTGACCTGTGCAAGACACCACAAGAGATTCTGAATGTGAGAGGTGATTTGATCCACAGCTTTTAGGGGCAGTAACTCAAAGACGTGAATCTATCTGTCTTTAAAGACAGAAATCTCTAATCTGAACCAGATAGAAAAGAGTAGGCTTAAGATGACAGACTTCACAGCCCATTTCTGTCCCACCCCCACATATTCCTCCTTCAGGATCGCCTCATGTCTGAAAATCCCTCTTTGTAGTAGCCCCAAACCGGGTAGAATGGATAAATAAATCGAGGTGTATTCACACAGCAATGAGAATGCCATGCTCCAGCCTGGAGGAATCTCCCAAACCTAATGTGGAAGGAAGAAGTCCTTCCAGGGAGAGCGTGGACAAAAGCAGTGATGCTCATCTAGGCTCTTGGCCGTCAGGACAATTACCCTTCGTGGGGGCTGTGACTGGAAGAGAGCGTGAAGGGGGCTTCTCAGCAGCTGGTCTCATCCTGCATCTCGATCTGGGTGCTGGCTACACAGATGCATTTCGCATTCAGTTCGTGAAAATGCAGTGAGCTGTGCACTTAGGTTACGTAGACTGTTCTCTATGTATATTAGACTTCAATAAATAGTTTTTTAAAATTAAAAAGGGTGCCAGCCAACCATGCACAACCTCAAAAGAAATCTCCCTGCCAGCAGTGCTAATGATGCTGATGGGAGCACCCGCCACGTGTCAGGGATGGGCTCTGCCAATCGCTCTGCATGCGTTAGTCCCTTCAGTTCTCTGGGGAGGTGCTGTTCTACCCCTGTTTTACAGAGGAGAGAACTGAGGCTCAGAGAGATAAAGTACCCTGTCCAAGGTCACACAGCTAGTGAGTATGTGCTGAAAAAGAGGCCTTATTTCCATTCCCAGAAGTGACTGCTGTGTTCTGTAGGCAGTTTTCTTTGATCCGTCCCAACATAGGAAGGAATGGTTTCTGCTCTGATTTCCCTAGAGATAATGTTTTGAATTCAGGATCTGCCTCATGGATGACCATCCTCCCCTCCCCCAGCACACCCCTCCACCTCAACTGTGGGAATGAAGACAGTTGAGACAAAGGTGATTGTGTTTGCTTTCCTTATCACCAGGGAAGAGACAGTAAATTATCCATTTAATTGACAGATAATCTTTAAAGAGCCACTGTTAGCCAAGTACTCTGTGGTGTGCTGGTGACCAGCTTAGATTGGGAGTTTGGGGTTGACTAGACCTGAGTTCAAATCCTGACTCTGCATTTTAAGCTACATGACCCAGAGCAAATCCCTTGTCCTCTCTGGGTCTCCATGTCCTGCTGTGTAAAATAGGTGCTAAATACCTCCTGGGGTGATTGTGTGAGTTAGACAAGAGACTGCAAGAAAAGCACAGAGCCTGACACAGAGGAGCATTCAAGAACTGTTACAGGGCTTCCCTGGTGGCGCAGTCGTTGAGAGTCCGCCTGCTGATGCAGGGGACACGGGTTCATGCCCCAGTCCGGGAAGATCCCACATGCCGCAGAGCGGCTGGGCCCGTGAGCCTGCACGTCCGGAGCCTGTGCTCCGCAACGGGAGAGGCCACAACAGTGAGAGGCCTGTGTACCGCAAAAAAAAAAAAAAAAAAAGAACTGTTACAGAGAGAGGGAAGCCAGGCCCTAAAAAGGTAACATAAATAGCGCTAGTATCAACTCAGTCATGTGCCCAGTCACTGTTGAGGCTTGAGCAAGGGGCTCCCATAACCACCGAGGCTTCCTGCCAGGCAAAAAATCAGCTGGCTTTCAGGGTTGAGCCAGGTTTACATAGGCCTCCTCCAAGGAGGGACTGGGCATTCCAAGCACACGGCCTAGCTTGGGCAAAGCCCTGTGGCTGGGCCAGCCTGTCTGCAGCCAAGGGCTGCCCAGAGCTGAGATTTCTGTCTCTTCAGCAGAGGAGCTTGAATGGGACGGTGGGGTGTTAGGGGATTGGCTGTAGAGAACACAATGGATGCTTTGAATTCTACAAAAATAAACTCTACTGTGACCAGTGGGGCGAAAATAGAGCCAAAGAGTAGTCAGTGTTGAGCGAGCACATGTTAAGCTATCACTTCTCTGGCAGGAGGGTGGGGGTGCCCTGATTTGTGCGCCACTTTAGGTGGTATAAATACTCCTGTGATGGACCATTTCAAAATAGCATTGTAACATCCTTAGATGTGGAACTGGGAAGAGATGCGCGCCGTTGGCACCATTGATGTGAGCTAGCACACCACTGAGATTCCATCAAAGTTGGGAAAACTTGCCCCACTGAGACACGGGCTCTGAGGACCTATGGCTCCCATTGGAGACCAGGGCTCCGCTCCTCGAGTGAGTGCTTTTAGTGTGCTAGGCATCGCCATGAGACCCAAGGCAAACTGTGCCCAGCCCTTGAGGTCCACAGTCTACTGGGGAAACTGGCATTAATTGAGTAATCACACTAAGTTACACAGTGCACGGAACACTCAGAAAGAAGTACTGTCCTACCTGGAGCGCACGCCCATGCCCTTTGTTTCAAAACCATAATAAAACAGACTGTTACTGTCTGTTCTGAATCAAAAACATGGTGCGTCCTCTCGGTTTTTCACCACACTTACGTTCACTTCGTGATACTTAAATCAGGCCTGTTGTCATTACAGCCCTTTCGAGAACTGGGGCTGCGATTTCAAGTGCCTTTTCAGGTCCTTGTGAAAAATCCATCCGTATACACCCAGGAAAGCACTCAACAGAGCCCATTTTAGAATAACAGCAGTCTGGACACATCTCTCCAGTTCAGTCCCAATGTCAAGCCCAGGCTGGGTCCCCTCAGGCGGTGGGTGCTTCCATTTGGGAACCATCTCACTTCTGCTTTGCCTCCCAGGTGGTCTTCGAGGCGTTGCACAATCTGGAGCCCCGAGGCTACGTCGTGGGGTGGATCATTGCCATCAGCTTGCTGGTGGGAATCCTCATCTTCCTGCTGCTGGCTGTGCTGCTCTGGAAGGTGAGTGGAGAGCGCAGGTCCCCAGGGAGTCCCCGACCAGACACCCAGCTCTCCTGCCTCAGCAGGGCTAGAGCGCATCGTCGGAAAAGGTTTCCTGGTGGAACTTCCTTCCCAGTGCAGGTACAATGAAAGGAGCGCAGGGTCCCTTCCAGGCAGTGAATGGAGTCTAGGCTCCTCCTGAGGCCATTCACACCTGAGGACTGGACCGCTTTGGAGGGAACCCCAAAATCTTACCCTCTTCTCCTGCCTTCCCTAGCAGAGTTGCCACCAGTCCTAACACAGGGTGGTGGGAGCCTCACTCCAACGCACAAGCTTGGGGAGTAACAGCTGGGACTGGGACGGGGATGGTTAACTCCTTTACTTGGGACAAAAACAAGAAAAGAAACTACAGAGCCATTCTTTGTTCTTTTCCCATGTGGAATATGGAACAGATTTCTGCCCAGAAGATTCTAGTAATGGCGATGGGCTGTATGTCTGGAGTGCTGCCTGGGTAGCTTCATCAGATGTTCTCCCAACCCCATGGGGGTTCATTCGTAGGTGCCCCAGGGGGTAGACTTGCCCTGTCTCCTTCAGCAGGGAGCACCTGCTCATCCTTCACATCTTGCCTCTTGTCACTTTCTCAAGAAGAAAGGGGTGTCCTCACCCCCAATTCTAAGATGGTTTCTTTGCCCTGCACTCTTCTCTCAGACACCTGGCGTCCTTGACTTTAGGGCCTCTGTATTCATCAGTAATGGTTTCCGAGTCATTATCTGAGGAAGGTTTGTCTCTTCCACGGGATGGTAGTGTGCCACGTGAGTTGGGTCCTGTCTGTTCTTGTTTCCACCGTGTCCCCAGCTCCTACAGCAGCACCAGGGACCACAGCTGGGACTTCCTGGCACCAAGTTCCTGCTTTTCCAGTGTTCCAGGTTTCAGAGGCAGGTGGAAACAGCCTCTTACATGATTATGGATGCATCCTTTAAATTCAGATAATTAGTTTCTTTGGGATTCCAAAATAATTTGTATTTATTGATCAAACACAGACACATGTCAGTAAGCAGAAAAGTTGTCAAATACTCAGGAGTCCCCATCCCAGAAATAACCATGGTGAGACCAGCGTTGTCTCTTCTTGAACTTTTTCCCTACATGATAGACAGAGACCAGGCATTCTCATAGCACCCACTTATTTGTGAATAGTGTGTTAAATTCTCCAGTAAAATACCCGATACCTTTTAAGGTGTAGGACCTCTAAAATTAAAACAATGAGTTCAATTATCAATCTGAAAAAAGTATAGTAAATATACTTCAGAGTATCCAAGAAATCTAGAAACGCAGGGAAAACAGTGTTTTTGTTGTACATCTTTTCAGATTGACAGTTGGACTTCACCTGAAAAAAGTATTGGAGGTTGAAGAAAAATATATTGAGCATATTACTTGAAAATCAGTTTATCTCAGGTTCCCGTGCCTTTTGGACATCCCATTTACTAGTTTACAGCCTAGCTTTCCCTGAATGCAGAATTGTGAAAGTCTTTCCTATTGTTAAAAACCCGTGTCCAGCGCTGTCCTCAGGCTGCAGGTGTATGGCAGATCCCAGTCCTCGGATGCTGGGATTCATTCACGTGGCTTCTGGTTTCACACTTCTTGTAACAGTGCCACAGTGAATATGCTTGGAGCCAAATATTTGCACAACTCCTTCATTATGTCCTTAAGATGAAACCCTAGAAACGGAATTACCGAGTCAAAAGAAATGCGTATTTTAAGCCTTTTATTACATATTACCAGTTGCCCTCTGGAAAGGTTATACAAGCAGTGTATCAAAAGTGCCCATTTTCCTGTATATTTACCAGGAGCAGATATTACCTTTTTTGAAAAACCTGCCCATTTGTTGTTTGTTTAATCTGTGTGGCCAGATAGAGTCTTAATTCTCCCTTGTCTCTAACTCCAACTCCTTCCTGCCAAGACGTCTGGTCTGGGGGTAGAGAACAAAGCCAGCTCAGTGTTTGGGATCTGAAGACAGTAAGGGCTTTGGCGGGGCGGGGGGTGTTTGTGTGTGTGTGAGAGAGAGATACTTCCTTCTGCCTTTGTACAGACATTTCAGAAGAGAGGGAACACCGTCCTCCACTGCTGGGTGCATGGGACCAGACAGGGACACAGAGTGGGGAGCGGGGTGGCTGTGTCCCACCCCCTCCCTCTGGGCCCGCCACTTGGCTCTGCCACTCAGGAGTGTCCCCTCTCCTGAGCACACCCTCCCACCTCCTTCCAACTGCCATCTGCTTCGCTTTGCTTCTGCCATGTTTCTTTATAAAGAATGTGGTGTGTCAGGAGGGGGTGTCATGGGGTGGCCAGCACCCTGAGGCCACCCAGCTGTGTGTGATCCAAAGAGCCAGGGCCCGAGAAGGCAGACATCACCCGCTGCCATGGACTGGCCATGAAAGCAGAGTGGTGGCGGTCAAGCGGCCTTAACCAGACAAGGTCGTCTTAACTGCTGGAGGAAGGAAGGGTCTAGAACACCTCTGAGAAAGCTGATGAGTGATGCCGTCAAAACTTCTAGCCACAGACACAGACTGATCAGCCCCCTCTGAGTCCCAATCCTACAAGCCTGGGAGAGAGAATCTGACTGGCTCAGCTCAAGTCAAATGTCTACAACTGTGGCAAGAGGCCAGGAGGTGGCAGAGAGAATGTGACCAGCCAGGGCTGGGTCACATGTCTCCCACATCCAGACAGCTAAGGCCAGCGCAGGAGAAAGATGCAGTGTGGAGGTGTGGGGAGGCCAGGTAGGGGTGGGGATAGGGGCTAATCTTAGAAGGAAACTAGGCAGATACCCTAAAGGCTTTCGCTCCAGCAGGATTTCGTGGTTATCAGTGGTGCTGTTGCCTAAATTACAGTCTTTTATATGGTACTAGGTAGCTGTGGCCGCACAACAAATTGCCACCAAATTGAGTTCCCTTCTGCCTAACAAATGTACAGGTCAGGAGTTCAGGAAGGGTTTGGCTGGATGATTCTTCTGCTCCAAGTGACACTGAGTGGTGTCACACAAGGGCATTCACCTGGTGACTAGGCTGGTCTGCTTCACTTCACAGGACAATTTTATTCACATGGCTGGCACCTTGGGTGGAGATGGCTGGAAGGCCGGACTCTGCCTGGCCCCTCCCTCTCTTCGTGTAGATTCAGGGCCTCTACATGTGGCCCTTCCAGCAGAGTGGGCTGATGTTTTACATGGTGGCTTCAGCTCTGGGAGAGCATGGTGAGAGCTGCTAGTCCTCTGAAAGGCTGGCCCAGAACTGGCATGGCATCATCCTGCTGCACTCTGTTGGTCAAAGCAGTCACGTGCCAGCCTAGAGTCAAGGAACAGGAAAGAGACTCTGCCTCCCAATGGGAGGAGTAGCGAAGAATTAGTGGCCATCTTTTGTCTATCACATACATGATATTCAGAAATATGGGCAAAATCTTAACCTTTTCTGTAAAACTCACTATGGCAAAGGACGATTAGCCTAACTGGAAGTTTTGTTGTTCTGAAGTAGATGAAACCTCATCTCTCTTCCGTTGTGTCATAGATAAAATTATGATTGAGCTCCTTGGAGGGAAAAAAACTAAACCTCGGTGCAGGGTTCATGAACGCACTCAACATTCAGAGTGGGTAGTCTGTTCAGGCACAGCGACAGTGCAGTAAGGAGCTCGGCAGAGGGAGTTTCTTTAGGAAAAATATTTTTCTCTTGAAGGACTAACTAAATAGAATGACTTTATAGGACACTGAAAAGGGCAAATGAAATGTAGGATTATTCTGAAGACCTACATATTCCTAAAACTTCAACTGCAGACCTCTTTTGTTTTTTATTTATTTTATTGAAGTATAGTTGATTTACAATGTTGTGTTAATTTCTGCTGTACAGCAAAGTGATTCATTTATACACATATATACAGTCTTTTTCATATTGTTTTCCATTATGATTTATCACAGGATATTGAATATAGTTCCCTGTGCTATACAGTAGGACCTTGTTGTTTATTCGTCCTATATATAATAGTTTACATCTGCTAATCCCAAACTCCCAATCCATCCTCCTCACCGTTGGCAACCACAAGTCTGTTCTCTATGTCTGTGAGTCAACTACAGACCTCTTGTCAACTTGGATCCCTATGTCTATAACCTAAGAAACATGCATTATGTATAGAGGTCTAATATTGACAATTCAGTGCACAGAAATCTGTTGATTAATGGGCCTAATATTTGAGTTAGATGGGAGGTCTAACTGCTTCTGGCTTATTACCGTATTTCACATATCATTCCCTCCAATCCTTTCAAGGGGAAAGTCACTGCATGGTACCCAGTTGCCACTGCTGATGAGTAAACACTTCACTAGAGCCTTTGAAGACAGGTGGGCAATGTTCAAGTCCTCTTTCCTTTCTAGAGCCACATCTCTTGAAGTTCCCTTTGGTGTAGTACCTGACACCGCTACCTGTGGTTGCTTGCCATTGCCTTGAGCTCATGAGCCCAAAATGGTTGTTCCCCAGAAAGTACAAGGATGGTGGCGTGGTATCAAAAACAGAACAAGGCGGCTGGCCCAGTGTGGATGGACTTTCTGTGCCATGAAGGCCTGCAGGTTAGCATGCTTTACACTTGTGAGCTGGCCGGTGCCTTCACTTAGCAAACAGATCCCTGCGAAGTGGCCGGCTCGGGGTGAAGGGACAGAGGTAATAAGCAGCAGAGCCCTCACTCCATCGTAAAGACTGGGGAAAGCAGTTAAGTGACCGAGGCTGAGCCAAGCACATCCTGAGGAGTAAGCAGCACTTGGCCAGGCAAAGAGCCTGTGCCACACCTCCTACATGTCGCCGTGGTTCTACCAACATGCCCATCATCCCCTGTTTATCTGAAACAGAAACCCCTTATAGGGTCAGCAAATACCTTCTCCAGAGCCGAAGTCCAGGCTCCCTGCCTAATGCTCAGCCTCCTTCTCTCCTCCGGGGCCTTCCAGAGGGTCGGCCGGTGGCACATCAGGCGCTGTCTCATGCTTGGCCGCAGCAGG